GAGATCCCAATGGCGGATGCTCACAGAGCGCGAACTTTTCTTTCCAAAATGTTCCACTTCAAACAAAACGTAAACAAAACCAATGAACGTTGGGGTGATCTCTTCCTGGAAACTGTGTAACCTGATTTAGACCCTTTAACCACTTTCTACAAATGCTTGTTTGGGTGGAATTATTATTGAAAACCGAGAGAAGCAACTTACTGCCATGACAAAATGACTGCCTTGCTTAGGAAATACACAATCTTCATATACTCTGCCCTGACAGAACCTATATTATCCCTATAATGCAAGAGTGTCTAATTAGAAAGCGTTTGATAAGTAGTCGGTTATCAGCATTAAACATATGTGTCACTATTCTTTGTGCACATAAACCTATTATTTCTAAATGAAATCAGAGTCATTAGATCAGAGAGGCTTACTGAAATAGAACTTTCTTCATTACTAAGCAAAATTGGGGATTTCTCTTTCTGAAGGGGAGCATACATATCGTTTCAAAGCAAATGACACAGTAATAGATGTAATTAGCACTATAAAGTGCTCAAGAGTCTTGAGAAAATTAATATGAGAGTCTTGAGTTTGAATGCATTAGATTACTTCTTAGGTCATCTACATATTCCATTACAAACAGGTTTTTAAGTATATTAGCTTTTTAAATAGGCTTATGGAGAAATAGATACTTCATGAAGCAAAACACCAGTAAATTATTCACACAGGAGAGAAAGGAACAGCCACCATTATTAGAGATGGCTTACAATATATATTTCCTTCTTTACAATCTCAACAGAATAAATAAATCTGCATACACAGAACATTGGAAGACATCAAATTTAAAAGAAGTCATTTGATGATATTAATATTTAATATTTACATTGGAGCACAAATGCAGCAAACAGAGAATGAAGACATCTCTAAAGATGGTAACAAAAGTTCCAAAGTTTGGCATATATTCATATAAATTTAAAACAGAATATTATGTTTCCTCAAGAAAATACCTTAATTTGTCAGCTGCAGAGCTCCTTTTTGTTGCACGGGGTTCTGGGATATTTTTCAGAATATACTTACAGTTCACGCAAGACACCTACCAGACTTGCCAGGCTTGTCGCTTGCATTCTAAACACAGGCTCAGTATTATGGCTGCAAATTGTTTGTATACATCTGTGACAAGTGGGCTTTAGTTATCATCTGTCATTCAAGGAAGCTTGCCTGCCACTACTGACCTTCTCACCAAGGAAGCCTCATAGGTTTCCAACAGACCTAACAACAAAGCTTGAAAGCCACCAGATTAAAGCCGTAGAAATGACTGCATTGGAGACGAGTCAGATAGAGGTGTTTGTGAAGAGGAGAAAATATGTGTTTCTCTTGTACACATTAAATACGTTTTACACCAGACATAGGCATACTCAGCCCTCCAGATGTTTTGGGACTACAACTCCCATCATCCCTGACCACTGGTCCTGTTCGCTAGGGATGATGGGAGCTGTAGTCCCAAAACATCTGGAGGGCCGAGTTCGCCTATGCCTGTTTTACACTTTTGCTCAAAATCTCTGTATTCAAAATAAGGGTAGAATTCTTTCCCCATGATAGGAGCACCACGTTTGCATCAGTCACTATGCAAAGCTCCATGTATGCTCTGCTTCTGGTCTTCCCCCTTCACTTTAGTGTGGGTACAGCTTCATTTTTGGATGCCTATATTTGTACTCTTCACTGAAAAGAGAGAAACCTGTGCATGAAACTCTCATCATCTGAGGCCCAGGTGGGAAGAGTCCCTGACCTGTCAATCCCCTGATACCACAATGATGTGGTAGGTCTTGTAGGGCACTTTGCAAAGTGCTCTGCAAGATGCTGGTTTGCAAGGGGCTTCTTGACCTGACCATCAGCTAATTGTTCAGTCTTGAGAAGCTCTTTGCAAAGGATTATCTTGCAGAGCACATTGCATAGTTGTTTGCAGTCACCACTTATCATCACTGACTAGAAGCCCCCTTTTAGGTTTAGTCAGGTTGTTACCTGCCCCATAGCTGCTGTTGTGTAGAGGAGGTCAGCATGACTTGGCCAACATGTTCTCTTGGGCCTAATAGGGGAGCTTGGCAGGCCTAGTTAGGTCCATGGGGCAGAGGTTCCCCACCCCCTGTTCTTATGTATTTTTATTTCAACACTTGATCTTGGCCAAAATCCCCCAGAGGATTTACGAGCACCATAGATGTGCCAATTAACCGAGATACCTTCAGGATAATTCCCAGAGCTGAAAGTGACCACTTTCCACTTGAGTTATCTCTGACATCATTCGTTTCTCCTGCCTTTCCTAAAATAGAAGGTTAAAATGGAATGCACAGGTCCAAGAAAAAAAATGATTCAGATCCTGGATTCCCATGAATTTGCTTTATTAAAGGGGAAAATGTTGTTAGAAACAGGGAACATAATCGGACTTTATGAGAACATATTCAACCGAATGCGCCCACTGATGACCACCACTAGTGTGATAAAAAACAAAAAGTTTAAAAGACAGACTTGGTTTGATAAGGAATGTCAGAATAGCAAAAAAATGCCTATCTAGGGAACTTAGAAAATTGAAGTTAAAACAGGATAAGCACAATCTTGCTCTACAAGCTGAGGTAGCCCAATTATGATACAATTATAAATTATTACTTAAAAGCAAGAAACAAATATATTATGAGTATTTTTATTTCTAGCTTTTCAGATTTAGATGTTCCAATACAAACAACTTCTCATAACTGAGTGGACTGGGTGGAGTGGATCTCAGAATTCAGAAGAAAGAGCAATGGGCAGAGTCTCAACAGCTTCTGGAAGATTGAGGAATGGGGCCCATCACAAACTGAAGGTGTGTTGATTAGAGGAGGAAAGTAGATGGGGCAGATGCTGCTTGCTCATTCAGGTTGGAATTTGAAACCCTAATCAGGACTGGGCCTGTTACATCTACCTCCCTGAAGCTCAGCACTGACACCCCACAGGGATGTGTGCTGAGTTCCTACCTGTACTTGTTGTATACATATGACTGTATTTCATCTGATCCATCCACTGTAATTATTAAGTTTTCAGATGATACTACCATAACGGGTCTAATTACAGGTGGAGATGAATCAGTGTATGGGGGGGGGTCAAAAACTATATACATGATGCTTAGAGAATAACTTGCACCTAAATATTAGCAAGACAAAGGAGATGGTGTTGGACTTTCGGAGGAAGAGAGGGGAACTGATGTCCTCCTTCTACCGGTTCACAATAGAAATTGTCCCCTCATATTGTATCACAGTGTGGTACGTTGGCTTGATAGCCACGGACAGAAACTCTTTACAGAGGGTGGTGAACACAGCGCATGATATCATGGGCTGTCCCCTGAGCCCGCTAGATGACATCGCAAGAGATTGTTGCCTTAGGAGAGCGAGAAAAATTCTCAGGGACAAATCACACCCCAGCCAGCACCTCTTTAATCTTCTACCCTCAGGCCAGAGATATAGAAGTATAATCAGTCGTACCAACAGGCTAAAAAACAGTTTCTATCCATGGGCTGTTAGGCTGCTGAATGGAAAATAATATAGTGCAATAGACTTTGGGGTTGGGGTGTTGTGCGACAAGCACACAGAGTGCAATGAGATTGAGTGTTGGGGGGGAAGGCTCAGTTAATTTCATTGTACACAGGTTGTACATTGACAATAAAGGTATAAAATTTAAAAAAAATAATTTAAAAAATCTCATTTCTTTATGCAGCAGATTTTTACAATATTTACCACAGAACAGAGGAAAACCAATTTCTTTATCAACAAAGGCTACTGCATTCTCCAGATACTGAAACAATCCATTCTTCCTATGAATGGGCAAGCACTCTATAATAAAACCTGCTTCACCTAGCAGTAAACACTTCACCTGATTTGGAGCAGGTGTCTGAAGCTATATAGTGGGGTGAGGAATGACTGCATATCCTAAGCCAGTTGCACGATCATATTATAAAGTAGTGGTGTTCTGTGTTCAAGCACAGTTTCCTTTTATATATAATTTTGTTATTGAAAATATCAACATACAACATTATAAAAACCAAAGTAATCTAAATAGAAAAACGAAAAGACGGGGAGGAAAGAAAACAATAGGAGGAAGAGGGAGGAAAGGAAAAAATACTTTATCAGTGCTGGTCTTAACCCTTGTCCCACACAAAATGTTCTCCTGGGAGCTTCCTTTTCTTCTCCCAGCCGCCCAATGTTTCTTTTTGTTTTCAATGTATTTTGAAAAAATTGGTGTGGCGTGAGCAAATTTTTATTCTGAAAGTGTGGCCCAGAGTAAAACATTTTGAGAAGGCACACAAATATTCCTGAAAATGTATGTTTTCTTTTCAGAGGAAACAATGAGCTGTGTTTTTACTAACCCTTGATGAAACTTTGATAAGCCCACCAGAAGCCAAATAACATTGCTAGTGAGGCCTCATTGAGTCTACAACTCTAATATCTCCAGGGATTTTGCCTCAGTGGAGGGGTCGAGTTTCGACTAGGTAAGAATTACTCTATTTTTGACCCATGTCACTTTATCCAATGTTTACCCATATTCTGTTCTCTTCCATTTCCCAATTAATCTGCAGTGAAAAATGAATAAATCACAAAATATGAATTTAGATACAGATTTGAATCTGCATTTCCCCTTAAAATGCACACTTAAACATGTGCTTTCGTTTAGAGTATATATTTAAATATGTATGCTGTTATGATTTAACTCTCCATAACTAGGCTGGAAGATTTAGAGAAGTGTGAAGTCTCTTTGATAGCTACCATCTACACATAAGTCAGAGAGGGTTGGACCAGGACATTTTGTACAGGAATTCTCAAAGGACTAATTTTTCAACCCTGGTTTAATTTATTTCCAGCCCTAGAACATATGGACCTATGAATCTGCTTAAAGAATTTTAGTTTAATATTCAGAATAATACCAAACAGAAAGTTAGTGTGACAGTATCTGACCAGATGTTTACTTAAGTCACCCAATAATCTATTAAAGTGTGTATGTATACACACACACACACACACAAACCCACAAATTCAAAAGCTGTCGAAGTAAGTTGATATTACCTGAGTCAAATTCTAACAGTGTCCTCAGTTGTGTGTGCGTGTGTGTGTGTGTGTGTGTGTGTGTGTGTTTTACAATGCACTTTCAAAACATCAGATATTTAATATTCAGCTCCATCACTACTCTGTGTTAATTGTTATTGCCGGCACAGTTTTGACACTGGAATCAAAAGTTCTCAAAGTTCTCATAGGCTCGGGACTTCCGGGGTGGTGCCATCGGCAATGGCGGACTCCCTCCGAACTGGAGGAACCAGCTCCGCATGAAACGGGTCTTTTCCGCTGCGGCGAAGCAGGGACCCTTCTGGAAATCACAGGCGGATGAAGCCTGTGACCGTGGGACTCGGCGGGCACCCTTAGCGCCCCCCCCAACCCGCAAAGGAACTCACAAATGGGCTCCGAAGCGAAGAGGGGGAAGTGGCGCGGTGCTGTGAGTCAATCGCTTTTCCTGCGGAGCGAAGCCACATAGCCGTTGCCGGAGAGCGCTGCCTTTTTCCTGGGACAATTTGGCATCTAAAATAACCAACCGTGAGTACTGGAACATTGAATATCTGGACTTTAAATAAGAACTGGTGAAATAGAAAGGAATTTGGACTTAAAAATTCACCCTAATTTGGTACTGAAACGGAAAGGTTTAAACAGGAAGTCAGCCTTCCGTTTCCCTGTAGCCAGAACAAAGCAAAGACAACGCAAACAAGAGCTTTAAAAATCACTCCTAAAGGATTGACTTTCATCATCTAAAATCGCTGAACCCCCCCTTTGGTAGCAGGAGAAGAAGGGGGAGCTTTTTTGGAGCTGTTTAAACCTGCAGAAGTGAATCTAAAGCAAAGTAATTTTCCACCGTCCTGATCCTGGAGCGGGGTGTCAGAATTGACGTTTGAAGCTCACTGACCAAAAACAAATGTCTTTGACAGATAGTTAAAAGAAGAGAAACATAGTGACTCCATTGCTCCCTTTCGCATCTTAAAAGAACAAATATGGACAAAATATCTTAAAAAAGAAACTTTGTTGCTATTGTTTTTAAGAGAAAGAACAATCAGAAGTTTTTCCCCTAGAGGGAACTGTGAAATTGTAACTAATCCCTGGGAGCTTGCAGCTGTCACTGATTACAACCGTGGGAAAGGGTTTGTGACCTTGCAGGACAATGTCTGCAGAAGCACTGTTGGGTGCTTTCTGCAAAATAAATGCCCTATTGGATCAGTTAAGCCAGAAGACGGATTTGATGACTAATGCGGCCAGAACCTTTGAACAGGTAGTGGGAAACTATATGGAACCCACCCAGGAACTAAAACAGGAGCGTGCCATGACAGAACAGCTGAGAGATGAGGATTCTGCTGAATCTTGGGCGCCAGAGACGGAAGGAGCTGCGGCCCAGCAGGAATATAAATTTTTGGATTTGACAAATGAACTTGGAAAAGACCAGACTTGGAAAGATAAAATTTGGTTTGGTTTGGAAATGGGGGGTTGGATAGACCCCCCTATACAGGGAGATTTGGACTTTTCGAGTCTGGAAAGGGGCCGTCAGATGTCTGGAGCAGTGGGGGCTCTCAACTTTGAAGGGAATCTGGAACATGTTTTTAAATACTACATCGAGTCTAGTCTGGACTATGGAAAAGGGACTGTTTTGTTGAAAAGGGTCAAAAACATTACCAAGCTGGAGTTCCCACGAATAAAAGGAAAATATGAAGAAGAGCTGTGGAAGGGACATGGAAGAGACTTGAGGGCCTCGGATATAAGATTGCCAGGTTAATGTGCTAGATTAATAGGACAAAAAGGACTGACAAAACCCGGGACCAGGAGGAAGGGACGCTGGATGAAGATTGGATTGCTTAAGTTTCTATTTCTATCATTAGGACTGTTTTACAAAATTGATGAATGTTAGGAAAATGTTGAAATGAAATTATTTGGCTCTTATAAAAATGTCTAAAGAATTAGGTAAGAATGTTATGGTTAGGAGAAGTTGGTAAAAATTAAGATTTAAGTTCTAAACTTTTTATATATAAGATAAGATGAAAATAGATTAAGGTAATGTGAGGACAGAATATTATGAATTATGGAAAGGATTTGCTGTGATTATTATAAATCAGGATACAGGAAAAGGGAGGAGGAGGAGGTCAAGGAAAGAAGGTATTGAAAGTGGAGAATTGGAGAATGATGGTTTTATTTTTTATTTTTCCTTTTTTTTGGTCTTGTTTCTTTTTTTGTGTGTAATTTAAAAAAATTTCTCAATAAATATCATTTAAAAAAAACCAAAAAAACCCCAAAAGTTCTCATTGGCTGAAACCACTATCAATGGTACTTACCATAAGTCGTGTGGGCTTGTGACAGAAGTTCCTCCCGTTAATTAATTCATTAATCTGCCCTTATCAAAATTCTATTTGGCACATGTACATTTTAATGAAGCAAATTCTTTCCCCCCTTGACCTTGTTCTTGTGGGGACAGGGAGTTCACCTTACATAATTATTTTAATTGCTACTAATTATGGTAATCAGGCCTTTCTCATAAAAATGAACAACTCAGGTAATGAATAACAAATAATGAATAAAGATCTAACTTTGAGTATTAATAGACATATTAGCATGCATTTTGATCCCAGCCCAGCTTACAGGACTGATTTTCCATTAGGTGTCCTGTTTCAGGATGACGGGTAAATTTGGATTAATATCTAAAAGGGTCATGCAGTAAAGATCATTGATTTGCTGGGTCCCCAAATCTTGAAGCCTTAACTTAATATCTATTAGAATGCCCTTTATATGAGTCAGCAAGAGAAAAGTTCTTGGAATTTTTAAAGGCTTATTTTTATATGACATACACAGGAATATTGATTAGACAACAACATTTCAAAAGATTTCTTGTCCTAAATTAACTGACTTCCAGGGTCGATGAACAAGAGAACATCTATGTGCAGAGGAAATAGTTGCTGCAACCTAGTTGATCCCAGATATATCTTAGAAGTGGGAATCATAGCTTGAAGTGTGTGTGAAAATATAGACCTTGAAAAAACCCACATTTGGTAACAAAAAAATGTTCCAAGGGCCCAGGCATTTTTACTCATATCTCAGCTTCCCGGAACCCCCAGCCCAGTGTAAAAAATTGTGTATGTGATCTACGGATAAAGGACAGTATACAAATTTTAATAATCATTATCATCTCCTTCCTGAATTTCTCAAGATCCAACCCCATTTATTCCTGATGATCACCATAACATATATATCTTCACTTGAATTTTTTTCTGTGAATTGTGACAGAATTCTGTTTGACTTGATCCTTTGTATGAGATATACTATATTCTTTGTATATGATATAGTATATGATATACTTAGTGATGTATGGAAGTGAGAGCTGGACCATAAAGAAGGCTGATCACCGAAGAATTGATGCTTTTGAATTATGGTGCTGGAGGAGACTCTTGAGAGTCCCATGGACTGCAAGAAGATTAAACCTCTCCATTGCGTGGACAGTTGGAGTCCCCAGATCCCGCGCAGTCCCCCCGTCATGTGGAATAACGACTCATGACAACGTGCTATGGGATTAAATTGGTCACAACTTTATTAAATTTCAAATGTGGGTAGACCTTGGCTCAGGCATTGGGCGTTCTCCCTCCCCAGTCCCCAGCCGGGGACCTAGGGAGCATCAGGGTTATCCAGTGTGTGTGGGGGGGGGATGGGCCAACTCTGGAGAACATATGTTCAAGCAGAGATAGCTGCCCCCGTTACGCTGCTTCCGCAGGGGAGAGCAACGACGACCTTTCGGCGTACGGTCAAAGCCTCCCTTCAGAAACCCCTTTAACGGGGAACCCTGGTATCGCCGCCGCAAAGAGGAAGATGGACTAAAGGATTCCGCCCAAGGCCTGATACCACCAAAGTTGTGACGTTTTGCTACGGGAAAGGCAAAACCTGCCAATGCAGGGAAATTCCTTTCCGGCCCTTAACAGCGACCTTAACGTAGCAGCGCCCGCATACCTGTGAAGAAAAGTTAACCTGCAAAACCTGTGAAGAAAAGTTAACCTGCAAATAAGACATTTACTGAGGGTGGGTAGGGTGGGAGAAGCTCTGGAGCCAAGTGAGGATTCCCAGGTAAGATCCTCCCTCTATTGTGTGGGCAGGTAATCCCTCCCCTACCTGGCCTGGTCTCCTTGGCAACGCTTCCCCCAGGTGGGATTGGACAACTGACTGAGGCAGGCGGAGACCTCCAGGTATCCCACCTGAGGGAAGGCAAACCAAGCCTATGCTGTTGGAGCCGCTTCAGATTTAGGGGCTGCGCGCGTCCACGCAAAGGGCGCCCCCCGTTTTAAGCGGGGAGCGGTCATTCTGAAGGAAATCAGCTCTGAGTACTCTCTGGAAGGACAGATCGTGAAGCTGAGGCTCCAGTACTTTGGCCACCTCATGAGAAGAGAAGACTCCTTGGAAAAGACCCTGATGTTGGGAAAGATGGAGGGCACAAGGAGAAGGGGACGACAGAGGACGAGATGGTTGGACAGTGTTCTCGAAGCAACCAGCATGAGTTTGACCAAACTGCGGGAAGCAGTGGAAGACAGGAGTGCCTGGCGTGCTCTGGTCCATGGGGTCACGAAGAGTCGGACACAACTAAACGACTAAACAACAACAAGTATGATATACTATATTCACCTGCAAATGTGTTTGTGTTCAAAGGAGAAGCATATGCCAATATTGTTACTAGGGAGAGAAAAAATATGTCACACATAAATGTATTGATTGGGACTGTGCCATCATTCATCGTACGTTTTCCCTTTCCCATTCAGTGACTCTCCCTTGTAGGCGGCTTATCTTTTAAGCTCCCCAATTAATAGCAGCAATATTCAGAATATTGTGTGGCTTGGTCAGAGGTTAAAAATGCAAACGAATTCACTGGCTCTTTTGATCTGTCGCTAACACACTTGTTCTCAGCTTATTGCGCCCTTGAGGTTGGGTCGTACCATAGTACACCCGGCAACCGTTCTCAGATCCTTTTTATCTTTCTGGGATTATTTCATGAGAGGGAAGCACGAGAGATGTCAAAGGTTTATAATCCTTCTCATTTCTCCACCACATCCTGCCCCGGGCACTTTAGC